CCTTCTTTATCTCTTGTTACTTTCTTTGTTTTGAAATCTATTTTGTCTGATACTAGTACTGCAACACCTGCTTTTCTCCCCCTGTTGTTTGCATGAAATATCTTTTTCCATCCCTTGACATTTAGTCTGTGCATGTCTTTGGGTTTGAGGTGAGTCTCTTGTAAGCAGCATATAGATGGGTCTTGCTTTTTTATCCATTCTATTACTCTGTGTCTTTTGATTGGTGCATACAGTCCATTTACATGTAGGGTGATTATTGAAAGATATGTACTTATTGCCATTGCTGGCTTTATATTCGTGGTTACCAAAGGTTCAAGGTTATTTTCTTTAGTATCTTACTGTCTAACTTAACTCACTTATTGAGCTGTTATAAACACTGTCTGGTGATTCTTTATTTCTCTCCCTTCTTATTCCTCCTCCTCCATTCTTTATATGTTGGTTGTTTTATTCTGTGCTCTTTTGTGTTTCCTCTGGTGACATCTATTTAGTCTTAGGAGTGCTCCCACCTAGAGCAGTCCCTCTAAAATACCCTGTAGAGGTGGTTTGTGGGAGGCAAATTCCCTCAACTTTTGCTTGTCTTGGAATTGTTTAATCCCTCCTTCATATTTAAATGATAATTATGCTGGATACAGCATTCTTGGTTCAAGGCCCTTCTGTTTCATTGCATTAAATATATCATGGCATTCTCTTCTGGCCTGTAAGGTTTCTGTTGAGAAGTCTGATGATAGCCTGAAGGGTTTTCCTTTGTAGGTGACCTTTTCCCTCTCTCTAGCTGCCTTTAAAACTCTGTCCTTGTCCTTGATCTTTGCCATTTTAATTATTATGTGTCTTGTCATTGTCCTCTTTGGGTCCCTTCTGTTGGGAGTTCAGTGTGCTTCTGTAGTCTGAGCAATTATTTCCTCTCCCAGCTTGGGGAAGTTTTTAGCAATTATTTATTCAAAGACACTTTCTATCCCTTTTTCTCTCTTTTTCTTCTGGTACCCCTATAATGTGGATATTGTTCCTTTTGGATTGGTCACACAGTTCTCTTAATATTCTTTCATTCCTGGAGATCCTTTATCTCTCTCTGTGTCAGCTTCTCTGTATTCCTGTTCTCAGATTTCTATTCCATTAATGGCCTCTTGCACGTCTTCTGCTCTTAAGTCCTTCCAGAGATCGTTTCATTTCTGTAATCTCCCTCCAGACTTTATCCGTTAGCTATTGCATATTTCTCTGAAGATCCACCTGCATGGTTATGACCTTTATTTTGAATTCTTTTTCAGGAAGATTGGTTAGGTTTACTCCTTCTCAGGGGTTGTCTCTGTTAGTCTGGTCTGGATCAAATTCTTCTGCTTTTTCATGGTGATAGAGGTAGTTGTGTGGAGCTGGCGCATGTGATGGCTGGGAGAACGTCCCTTCTTGCTGGTTTGTGGCCTTCCTCTCCTGGGAGAACAGCGACCTCTAGTGGCTTGTGCTGGGCAGCTGCTCACAGATGGGGTATCTGATTCATGCTGGGCCTCTGTGGAAGAAGCTCTTCCCAGTTGCTCTGGGCATGGCCACTGCCTCTATGGTGGAGTCACACCAGAGGGGGAATGGGCCGGAGGCTGTTTTTCACAATGAGGGGCCTCTGAGCTGCACTGCTGCGCAGGTGGTTGGGGTGCCTGGAGTTCCCTGGGATTCCCAGTTACTGGGCTGATTGTGCTGGGGTGCTTCCATCCAGCTGTGAAGCCCCTGTCCCTTTAGATTTTCAAAGGGCACTCACTTTTCTTTGTCTCAGGGGTGCCAGCTGTGGGGACCTGCTCACAGATCTTCCTGTCCTGTTTCCCTACCATCCAGCACACCACACACTGTGTGTCTGTGCTCCGGTGCAGATGGCTGGGGCTGGCTATTTAGCAGTCCTGGGCTCCCTCTCCCTCCCCGCTCTGACTCCTCTCCTCCTGCCAGGAGCTGGGGTGAGGGGTGCTCAGGTCCCACAGGGCTGCAGCTTGTATCTTACTCTCTTTGCGAGGCACTGGGTTCTCGCAGGGTGTGGATGTAGTCTGGCTTTTGTCCTGTGTCTTCTGGTCTCTCTTTTAGGAATAGTTGTATTTGTTGTATTTTCAATAATGTATGTGATTTTGACTGGAACAAATAGTTCAAAAATTTATATGGAACTACCAAATACCCCAAATAGCCAAAGCAATCCTGAGAAGGAAAAGTAAAGTTGGGGGGATCTCGCTCCCCAACTACAAGCTCTACTACAAAGCCACAGTAATCAAGTCAATTTGGTACTGGCACAAGAACAGAGCCACAGATCAGTGGAACAGAATAGAGACTCCAAACATTAACCCAAACATATATGGTCAATTAATATACGATAAAGGAGCCATGGACATACAATGGGGAAATAACAGTCTCTTCAACAGCTGGTATTGGCAAAACTGGACAGCTACATGTAAGAGAATGAAACTGGATCATTGTCTAACCCCATACCCAAAAGAAAATTCAAAATGGATCAAAGACCTGGATGTAAGTCATGAAACCATAAAACTCTTAGGAAAAAACATAGGCAAAAATCTCTTAGACATAAACATGAGTGACTTCTTCATGAACATATCTCCCCAGGCAAGGGAAACAAAAGCAAATATGAACAGGTGGGACTATATCAAGCTGAAAAGCTTCTGTACAGCAAAGGACACAATCAATAGATCAAAAATGTACCCTACAGTATGGGATATGGTTTTGGGAGGTATATATATATGTATATATATATATATATGGTTTTGGGAGGAGATATCCACTGCTCTACTCATGCTGCCATCTTGGCTCCGCCTCCCCACAATTACTTTTTTCTATTACTTATACCTGTTGTTCTATGAGTGCCCTGCGGTAGGAAACCCTCTGTTGAAGCTCCCGAAGCTCTCGGTCATCTTGTGCCTCAGCCTGCAGCTTGATTTTGCCGTGATATGAATTCAACAGCTCCAGTTCCTGCTGCAGCTGCATTTTCAAAACCTGGCACTCCGCCTTCTGTGCTTCATCCAAATGCAGCTGAAAGAGAGAAAGAAAACAGATATATCCTCCTGTGAGCTATGAGCTATCTTTTCATGACATCTGGAAAGGAGGAGGTGTAAGTTAAGAAGACTACTCTTCTATAGGGCACAACTGTTCTCTCTTACATCTTGGAGTAAACATCTCTGAAAAAGGAAAACATAGTACCAACGATGGCATTATAAGGATAAAGCTATCATAAGCTATTTGGATGGTGCCTAAATAATCGTTATTTTTTTAAAGAAAAATATAGAATCTGATTGATATAAGACTCTGAATCTTTTTTCTCCAGTGGAAATAACAATAGAACAGGGACAAGCATCCTACAGCTTATGGGCCAAATCTGAATAGCTACCTGAGTTTTTGTTTTGTTTTTCAATAGCCCACTATTTAGGAATGGTTTTTACATTCTGAAATGGCCACATTTTAAATGGCAATGTAAATACCCACATAATAACCTCAATTTTTCCTCCTGGCCCACAAAGCCTAAAATATTTACTATCTGGCCAATTAAGAAAAAGTCTGCAAACTTACATAGCAAATATTTTGTATCTGCACTCAAATGGAACCACCTGGATTCCCAATCAAGTTCTACTTTCTGAACACTGCTTAACAAAGCTGCTTCTCCAATCTTGATATGCTGTTGGTGTGTGTACTAAACACCTGCAAGGCACCAACAGAGAGCCTATGTAGAACCTCATGTCCAAGTGTATCAAAGAGAATTATATATACATCATGCATATTTCCAAGCAATGCTGAGAAGAAGAAGAATATGGACCAGCAGCACTATTTCCCAAGGTGCCACAGTTTTCATTTCCACCTTAATATTTTAATTGTTGGGATTTTATTAATGTGGTGGAAGGAAAGGGGCACTATATTTGTTTTGCCTAAGTAAAATAAACTTACGGCTTGTGTGGAGAGCATTTCACGAATGCTGTGGTCACACTGCTCAGCTAAGATGGCTAACTTCCGGGTCTGCTCCTTCTTAAGCCATTTCAGAACAGCTTTGCGCTCACTCTTTGGTGTAGATTCCCGTAAGTGATTTCTTAAAGCTTTGTACTGTCTGGTTTGGATTTTGCAGGTGTCCTGGAACTGCTTTTTGATTTGGAGTTTTTTAGACTGTAAAGAAAAGAAACAGACATATAATTTTTAACAGATGGCATTTGGTATAGCTTATGCTTACATGAAAAGGCAACAAAAACTCAGATCATAAGTGGCAGGTACCTCTATATTGGGTCAAACCATTGGATTCCATGCAATTTTATAACAAACTCTAAAACATAAGAATACCAAGAACTTCATTTATCATAGGACTTCAGGCAATACTTATTTTGTTTTTAATTTAGTGACCTGAGTAAATATTAAAATTACCTTTGATTACTGTGTATATTGATGGCAGAAAATTATATTTCTTTTCATGCACTTAGTAGATGTAAAATAATTTTACTGGCCAGACAATATTTTATCAGATCTCTGAAGCAGAAAATAAGTATATTTACTCTGTTCCTTATCTAAGACATTTTGCTCCAATTTCTTTTAATGACAATCTCAACTGTAAATATAGTCTGTGATGGACCCCATAAAAGTAGGGTACTAGTAACTGACTGATATTGTTATTAAAATTGTCTTTTCCTTAAGATACTGGACTAGGTAGAAACTACTTCATAAGGGTTTACTCTTCAGCACCATGAGCAAAAACCTGAAAGTTAACTAATCTTTCAAAGGTCAAAGAAAAGTTATGAGGCAAGGGAAGGGACGACAACCCTTCTTGCGGTAATGATAACAGACATGAACTACATAAACAGTTTTGAGATAAAATAATTTGAGTTCAGAAACAGAATAACTCTGGCTTTAAATCACAGGTTAATTATTCTATGAACTCAAGTTTTAACAAAACTTAGTAAGATGAGATATATTTTATAAGGTATACCCATCAAGCCTACAAGTAACAACACTCATTTACTACACAAAGGCAGAACCTATAGTCGAAATTATTTCCCTCAATATATATACTGCCAGATATTGAATGGTTGAGTCAGTGTGCAAATGCATGTATGACCAAACACTCTTGTCAAGGAACTAGTTCACACTCTTTGCTCCAATACTACAAAACCAAATATATATGCTTTTCTGCAATTTACACCAATTGAGGTACTAAGCCATAGTCATGTACCTTTATTCTGTGAAGGGTCAAGAAATATCTAGCTAGAAAGACAAACTCTTGGTTTAGTTGGCTTAGCACTGCTCTTAAATACTGCCCTTGGTTAATAAAATTCCTCCAAGTTAGGAGTGGAACAACGAAATTTAGAATTCTCTTCTGACTTTGTGTAACAGACTCCATTCTTTAAAAAACTTTTAAATATTCAAATATTTTGCCAAGAAAACTATAGTCACTCCATATCACTAGCTAATGACAAAAAGGAATGCCCTGAAAATTTTTTTCAACAAGATTAATACTTATACCAAGAATAAACTATATTCCTCAATGTTTCACTCAAGTGAAAGCAGGATAAACATGTTCCAGTTGTTTCTTAATCACTTAATACTGACAAAACATCACCTGATGGCAGATGAAGAAATGGCAGATAGACAATAGGTGTTTACCCAAGTCATTCCACAGAAATGGTGCCCAATGTCTACAAATACTGTCAGCTTATCTAAGTGTGCACACTGAAGTCCTCCTATCCCCCTTAAAGTCTTGGAGAAAGCTGGAATAGTTGCCACTATTGCAGTTGAGCTATTACTTAGTAAATAAAAATTTACCTAAAAAAATTGCAACTGTTACTTACATAAATGAAATGACCTGGTGTTAAAATAGAGTCTGTTTTCTCCACAAAGGGACTAGGGTTACCAAAAGGAAGGGATTGGGCATTGTGGGTGGGGAGGGAGGGAGAAGGGGATTAAAGGGCACTATAATTAGCACTCACAATATAGGTGGGTCATGGGGAAGTCAGTACACACGGAGAAGACAAGTAATGACTCTGTAGTGTCTTACTACGCTGATGGACAGGGACTGCAATGGGGTGGGAGGGATTGATAGCATGAGTGAATGTTGAAACCACAATGTGCTCATGTGAAACCTTCATAAGATTGTTTATCAATGATACCTTAATTTTAAAAAAAGTCTGTTTTGTTCAAATTGTGCAAGTAGATAGATATATACAACTAAGAGGAACATGGTGATTTTCTTTCCCACTAAAGTAACAGAACAATTTCTTTTATCAAAATCTTGAGCTTATGTATCACGAGAAGGAAGCTTTCTATCTAAGGTCCGACTATGATTGTGAAACATTATTTTTCCCCTTGATTTTTTAATAGTATCTGTGAGAATAAGCCTAGTGTTGTACAAGCATTCAAACTGAGAAGACTGCAACAACAGGGAAAAAAAAGGAAGGGTTAAACATAAACAACTAACCTATGCCAAGCCCCAGAGAAATGAAGTCATATCAGATTATGGTCTGACCAAAGAAAACCAGGAAGCTTTCAGTTTGGTTTACTTCTGGGTGCTGCTCACTATAAAATTGTAATTAATTTTATAGACATGCTTTAAATATCTTTTGGTGGGAAACTCTACTGTGTAGCTACTACAAAGACTAAATAAATCTGGCAAATCATTAAGAATTCTGATTTTCATACGCATTAACTAATGGTGGTTATGTGGGTAGTCAACATATGAGCCACTCTGTAAACGATGTTCATTAGCTGTTTTAAAGATACAGAAAAGTAAAATTTTACTTAGATTCACAAAGAAAGGGTGAATCTTAGCTTTGCTTCTATATTTTGTTCAGGACAACCTGTATGAATGGAGCTGAATAGGAACCAGAGATACCTCTGATTTAGCTTCTGGTTTTGACACAGATTACTTCTGTGAGTGAAGTTCACTTCACTTCAGGACAGTTATTCAGGTAAGTGTTGATAGTTCTATAGTTAAATTGTCAAAGAGTTTGAAAAAGGGGGTAAAGAAGATACTGTGGGATCTGGGCCTTATTGGATGTAAATAAAAGTTTAAAATGTGCAGACATGTACAGATTAATTGAGATACTACTATGGATGACAACATATATAGTGGGTTGTTTCAGTTTTTTGTTTATTAAGATACATGTGATTATACTTCACATATTTATTACAAGTTATAAAATTTGAAAATTCCTTGGAATTGTTAACTCTGGTTGATTTTGGTAGAGGGGGCTGGACCAGGTGGCTTAAAGGACAAGGAGAGGGAAACCTTTAACTTTATAATAAATACACTTTGGCATCTTTTGAATTTAGTATCCTATGAATAAATTCCTCTATGCAAAGCAAATACAAAATTTAAAGTCCTTAGATATTATATATCACCAACACTTGTCTCTCCTTATTTGTCTACAAGAGGGCATATAATAATAACTTGCTTCTCTCTGATGTGCTAATTAACAAAATACACTCCAGCTACCCATACGCTGGTCTTACCTATGCTACCAAGCAGAGAAAGAATGGGAGTAACAATGTGATAATTCCACTATTCCTCTTAGGATGAGTATAGACAATGAAGGGAGAGGGGGTAAAAAGGCATTTTTCATTCATGGTTTCTGTACTAATCAACAACTTACTGCCTCTCTTGTATACAAATCACATTCAGAGGAAATAAGATCCCAAAACTATAGAACTTGGAACAACAGAGAGAAGCCAACAGGTTAGTATGTTGATATATAGTTGTAGTGTCAACATTGGACATTTGGGTACACTTAAAATAAGAATTTTGAATCTCATTTATGGCACTTTCTGCAGTGAAAAAGTTCTGGCCATTTTTTGGTACTCTGCTGAGAAATACATAAGCAGAAGTCTGTAGCTACAGACCCTCTACATCAAAACTAACCAAACATGCTTAAAATGAAAAGAAAAAAGCTTATTCAATTTCCTTATGGCAGACATATGGCTTAGACTTTTAGTGTTTACATGATGCCTTTTATCTGTTCTCCTTTGTCAAGAAGCCTAGGCTAAAGGTACCTTCAGACTCTTAGACTGTTGTCGAACCTCCATGGCATGCTTTCGCCTTAGTTCTCATTCTCTCCATTTGTTATGCTCCAGCTGGTTTGTGAGCTCGGCTTGATGCTGCAATCTGATCAGCTCACAACGCATCTTCTGCCTTGTGTTGAGCTGGCGGAACTGCAGTTCTTGCATGGATTCATGATGACGCTGGAGCGTTGCATGCTCCACGTCCATTTGAGTCTGCCTCTTATTTAACTCCTAATTCATAACAAAAGACAAAGGCATAATTTACTGATGTACGATGCCAGGAGAAAAAAATCCTAAGAAACAGAATAACCAGGATATAGATGTGATCCTCTGATTTAATAATGGCTGCACAGTAAATATTAGAGTTTTATTAGTGTAACTGTAGAAAATGGGCAATTGGTAGCATAATTTCCTTATCTGTTCATTAGCTATTTATACTATTTTTAACAATAAGCTTAAGACATATCAAATCTGTCCCAGGAGACTTAATGTCCTTTCTACTCTCATTTATGTTTCCTAATTTTGTATTTGAAGAGGACTTCTAAGTCATCCTTTGAATTTCTTCAGTGTATACATTCAATTCTATTACATGCAGTATACCCAGTATAGTGTAGTGGTTAAGAACACAAGACTCTAATAACAATGAAGCAAAACTGAAGGAACAAAATGGCAGCAGACTCAGACTCCAAGAATGAACTGGTGGTTACCAAAGGGGAGGGGTGTGGGAAAGTGGGTCGGGAGGGAGGAAGAAGGGGACTGAGGGGTATTATGTTTAGTACCCATGGTGTGGGGGATCACGGGGAGATCACAGAGAAGGGACATAGTGGATCTCTGGCAGTTGATTGCTGCACTGATGGACAGTGACTGCATTGGGGTATGGGTGGGGACTTGATAATATGGGTAAATGTAGTAACCACGTTGTTTTTTTCACGTGAAACCTTCATAAGAGTATATATCAATCATACTGTAATAAAAAATTTAAAAACAAACAAACAAAAAGGAACACAAGACTCTAGGGCTAGACTGCCTGCTTTCTAAATCCTGGCTCTGCTACCAACTAGCAGTGAGTCCTTGGGTTAATTACTTAAACTCTCTGTGCTTCAATTTCATCACTTCTCAAATGGAGACTATAATATAGCTGTTTCATAAAATTAACATGAGGCTGAAATGAATTCATAAGTGGAAAGCTCTCAGAATACCTACCTCATGATCAATAAATGTTACAACAATTTTTTCAGTTCAGAAAGATCAAATATACGACACACACGCATACACTCACACACGCTCTCTCTCTTTTTCTCTGTAGAAGGAACTCAGACTTGGCCCTTTTGCCTCTGCTGCCGCTTCTCCAGGGGCCAACATTTGGTGCATATGTTTCCCAACCTTCCCCATGCTATCGTGACACAACTATTGCACAAAAACATACACTTTTAAAATTGAATAAAAATATATATTATAGGCATATAATATGCTTTCTTTACCGAAAAATATAATGGACAAATATCCAGATCAGATCAGGACATCCAGATCTTTTTTTAAAAAGTTTTATAGTAATCTGCTTTGTGATGGCTGTAGTTGTTCCATTTTTTGCTTTATGACAAATTTTCAATAAACATCTACACATGATACACCATATAATTATGTTACTATTTCTTTAGGATAGAATTTGAGAAGTGGATTTGATGGATAGAAGATACATGCAAATTAAATTGTAAAAGCTGCTGAATTATGCTTCAAATGGCAGTATCAATTTCTATTCTTCCCGACATGGCCCACTTTCCCATGCCACTACTAGGACTTACCAATTCTTAGACTGATCTTATTGAATTGATTCAATTGTTTTAATTTGAATTTCATTAATTATTAGTGAATTTGAATAATTAACTTATATTTGAAGTTTATTTTAAGCCACTCTTGGAAATAAATTGATCTTTACTCATAGGTATACCTGATAATGAGAATCGTTGTTTTCATTGGCATAAGTTTATACATATGCCCAATAAATAATTTCATGATTATAAAAATATGTTAAATGGTAGTATATACCTTCATGGCACACATTTTGGATGAAAAGGCATAAATTATCCAATTAATTTTCTCATATTTAAAAATTAATACTTTTTTCACTCATGGATTTAATATTTATTAAATATTTACTTAATACATAGTTATTGAATACCTACTATGGGCCAGCCACTAGGTATAAGGCCTGGATATATCTATCCACTGGATATAAAAGCCCTGAACAGAACCTGGGACTTCATATAATTTCCATTCTACTTGGGGAGAGAGAGATCCCCATAAAAAGTGTGCACGTGTGTGTGTGTGTGTGTGTGTGTGTGTGTGTGTGTGTGTGAGAGAGAGAGAGAGAGAGAGAGAGAGAGAGGAGTGCAAGAATATTTAAAGAAGGGAGAAGGATTTGGTGATCAGAATTGAGGAGATATGAAGGGAGGGAGAAGGTGAACCGTGTGGGTTGGGTTTCCAGGGAAGAAGGACTTAGGCAAAGGGAGGCAGAAGCACTCTAAGGCCTTGAGGGTGGGATGTGCCTGACATATTTTCAGGAAGATTCTGATTTCACACCATTTAAACATACCTCCATGACAAGGTCCTGCTCCAAGTTACAGCACCCAAGTAATATGTTTCTTTGGAAGCGACGGCATTGCAGCCCGAGGTGCTGTCTCTGATGGTGAAGAAGATCGGTCTTCTCCTCTGCCTGGGAATGCTGGACGTTCTCTATCTGCTTTGACAGCCATTCCTGTTCTTCTTTCCTTGGGCTGCTCTGCCTTTCATTCAGCGCCTGGCAAGATAAAAAACAACTGAGTTCAAAATACATAAAAATTAACTACATGAATATAGTATTTGGTAGCTGGTAATCTTCAGTGAAAATACTTAATTTGTGCCCTCTCTCAAGGGCAGGCAGGGCGATGACCTTAAGGAAGTAGGTAGTATTTTTCCATTTCTTGAGTTATCCATGAAGTAGGACAAGAAAAGAGAAAACATACACTAGAAAACATGCATACTTTTCAGCTTTGCACAGCTATATTTATGATGGCTCGTAGCTCTGAAAGCACACAATGATTGGTGAATGAAGTAAAACATCTTTCTTTAAATCCCTCCCAAAAAGGGGAAGAAGGCAGTGCTTTCAAGTAAAAATCACACACGAATTAAAATCAAGGTTAAAATATAGTTATGTCTCACTTCTTGATTTTCAACAATAGAAATGCTAAGTTTTTGGCAAAGTTAAGGATGGCTTCAGTATAAAAGACTTTGGAAATTAAATGGAAAATCAAGAAAACTATAGGAAAATAGAGACCTTTTAGAATGGATTTAATATTCAGCACTATAACCACTGCACAAGGCAAGACCAATGTTTTTCTACAGCATTATAAATATCATCTCACAAACTACCTAAAAAATTCATTTATACTGGACAAGATGAGAATGTTGACAATACGTTCAATGATACAAACCCGAGGATGCTAATTAATACTAGTATATTTCAACCTAAAATGCATCAACCTTGTAGAGAATATAAATCAGCCATCTTTCCTAGGTCTAAGATGACTTTTCAGAGACTATTAACCTTATGGTTCTTCATCTGTTATTCAAGAAAGAAACCAATTATTCATTACTTTCATTAATAAGATATTCAAACACATAAAAATAAAAAGCACATAAGCTTGTAGTTCTCAACTTACAGATGTCAGTGATAAGACAGGGATAATACAGGCATATACACAAAGCTCACTTGGCTGTTTTTCAAAATCTTTTGCCAAGGAAACTCCCCACCCACCAAGACTCTAGTATGTCCCTTCCTCTATACCGATAATAATCATTCTAAATGAACACACACACACACACACACACACACACACACACACACAACACAAAACTACCTTCTAAAAGAAAATGAGATTAGTTAGACTATGTATTATATGCTTGAGGAATTATCTAAACCAACACATTCATTTATAAAACTAAAACCTCATTTCACTAAGAAACAACTATAGAACTGCATTTTGTTGGGTATTTATTTACAGTTGAGAATCCTATTTACCATCTTTTCAAATTCCATGTTCTAGTATTGAGTTTGGCTTTCAGATTACAGTAATGGGAATACATACCAGGTTATACTCTTTTGAGTCAGAAAAATCTTATCAATGAACCTCACTTGGCAGGGTACATATAGCAAGGCTTTGTGCCACCAATATATCCTTAATAAGACTTAAATATCTAATTATAGGTCAAATTCCTACATACACAAAAGCACTGTACCAAAGATATTATGGTTATGTTATCAAGATTAATTTATCTGTGTGCTAATAATTTATTACATGGGCTAAAAATTTCAGCCCATCAGTTTGTAAGAGGGGGTGTAACTGGAGAAGTAGTGGTGGATGGGGAATTTCCTTGGCAAGAGATTTTGAAAAACAGAGCCAAGTGATTCTTTGTGTGTACGCCTGTATTATCTCTGTCTTCTCATTGACATCTTTAAGTTGACAACTACAACTTTACGTGATTTTTTATATTTATCAACGAAATATTTTTGAGTATCTTATCAATGAAACTAAAAAAGAATTGGTTTCTTTCTTGAATAACAGGTGAAGAACCGTAAGGTCAATATTCTCTGAAAAATCATCTTAGACCTGGGAAAGATGGCTGATTTATATTCTCTGCAATATAATAAATACGCATTAGCTGACACATATCATTTTTGTGTCCTGACCACTATCCTGAATAATAATCCCCTTTCAGAAATTGCCTTGGAACAACCATGGCTTTCCTCAAAGTTAGAGTACATCTGCGATAAAAAGAAGTTCAAGAAAGCAGCACATAAAGGGCAAACACACATGAAATCATGTAACCATAAAGACATAATTAGCATGCTTTCCTATTAAAGAAAATGGGATGAGCAGAAATGCCTCTTATCCTTATTCTGTGTTAAAATCAGAATAAGAACAAATTATTGTAATCTGAGCCCAAAGTAAGAAGGTATGATTTACTTTTAAAGGAAGAAATGTATGGCTCTTTTTCACAGCTAAAATATTTTTATTTCTAGTGACTCAGTTACTCAGTAAGTGCTTAGGAAAGCTATTATAAATAATAGCTTCATAAAATAATTTAAATGTTCAAGAGATCGCTCTTTTTAGATCCCACTCAACTGAGGATATCAGCCATTGAAAATAGGTTATAATCAATGTCCTCACTTAAACTGATATATAGTTAGTGGCCACAAACAAAAGAAAAATTTATGCTAATGGTTCTATGAGTAGATCACTATTGAATATAATCAGTAAGCAGGTGAGTGGCTTGAAAAGTTTTATAAAGTAAATACCTTCTTAAGCTGTTCCTTTTGAAGTTTATATTCTCTCTTCTGGGACTTCAGAAAGCTGTTCAGTTCTTTCTTCTGCTGGTCCTGAAGATGTTGCTTAAATTTTTCCTCCTCATTGGACATCACTTTAATCTATAGGAAATTTTTTAAATGAATCAAATTATCTAAGCAGATAAGCTTCAAAGCAGCAGTTTATACACATTAGCAAGGATACTTCCTCCCACCTAAGAATATAAAATCAGTATAATCATTACCAAAACAAGAATATCCAATAAATTATTAAGTATTACTCAGCATCCTTATTATTTGAATTTCAGAGAACCAATAAAATGGAACTCATCTTTAAAATGCTGATCTTTTACAGGGTCAGTGTTTTCACCTTTTTTCCCCCATACTGGAGTATGCTGCCCGACACCCCCCCCCAATAAAACAAAACAAATGTAATTAAGTTATGACCTTTTATCTAGCTTGACTTGTATATTAAATAATGTAATACATTCATCTTCAAATTAATCCCTGACTTTTAATTTGTATTTTAAGTAATATGAAAATGTTGAATATTAAATCCCAGTATAATATTATCTTATTTCTGATGATATATGCAGTAGTTGACCCACAAACAATGTGGGGATTAGGGGTGTTGACTCCCAACATAGTAAAAAAATCCTCATATAACTTTTCACTCCCCAAAAACTTAACTACTACTAGCATGCTGCTGACTGGAAGCCTTACTAACAACAGGAACAGATATTCACACATATTCTGCATGTTGTATAAATTATATACTGCATTCTTACAATAAAGAAAGGTAGAAAAAAGAAAATGATCTTTCAAACCGTCTCTCAAAATATTTTCCAAGATCTTTATTGAAAATCAATATGTGTATAAATGAGCCTGTGCAGTTCAAACCTATGTTATTCAAGGGTGAACTATACATATTCATTGCAGAACATTTAGGAAATACAGAAAAAACACAAAAGAAAAATCTTATATGATTTTACCAGCCAGAGATAACCAATATTAACATTTTGGTACATGTCCTTCCTAATTTTTTCTAGGCATATATAGACAAAGATATAAATACATAAAATAAATCTAAAATCATATTGCACATCATGTTTCACAAATTGCTTTCCTAAACATGTTAGTATCTACCACTTTACAAATTATTCAAGAAAGTACACCAAACATGATTCTAAATATTTTTACATTCTCTCACCAAATTATTTCAAAATCAAATATTCATTTACACCAGAAATTATTTTGCTAAATTCTCTATTACTGTGAGAGAGTGATTCTCCTTTTTTTGCAGGGAAGGGTGAACAGGGTAGCTGCAAATGCCTCAGGGTGGACTAGCCAGACATCTTTGAAGATATAGTGTAAGTTTATTGAGAAGTTTACATTTTACTTGACAATTGTGATGATCAAAATAAATTGAAACAAATGGGAAACCAAGGAAATTACAAGACAAGTTTTCACATAACTCCTAAAAAAATGTACCTTTATCATACAGTCGAATGATACTTATTTGCAGTAAACAAATGGGCTAAATCTGAAACCATCTTAATCCCTCTGTATATTATAGTACTCTTCAATTCTTTTGATATAAAAATGCTACTATAAATTTAAGGTTTCCAAAAAGTACACAGAGAATGATGAATGATTTCTGAAACCGAAATTAAATACTAACTGATTTATCAAACTCCTCAGATAACCAAAGTGTCCAAGGCCTAGAACAGAATACTTAATGACTTTTTTTTAGTAAGTTATCATTGATATACACTCTTACGAAGGTTTCACATGAAAACCAATGTGGTTACTACATTCACCCATATCGAGTCCCCCCTCAATACCCCATTGCAGTCACTGTCCATCAGTGTTGTAAGATGCCACAGTCACTACATGTCTTTTCTGTGCTACACTGTCTTCCCCATGATCCCCCCACACCATGTGTGCTAATCATAATAGCCTCAATCCCCTTCTCCCTCCCTCCCCAACCGCCCTCTCACACCCCTCTCCTTTGGTAACCGCTAGTCGCTTCTTGGAGTTTGTGAGTCTGCTGCTGTTTTGTTCCTTCAGTTTTGCTTCATTGTTATACTCCACAAATGAGGGAAATCATTTGGTATTTGTCTTTCTCTCCCTGACTTATTTCACTGAGCATAATACCCTCTAGCTCCATCCATGTTGTTGCAAATGGTAGGATTTGTTTTCTTTGTATGGCTGAATAATATTCTGTTGTGTATATGTACCACTTCTTCTTTATCCATCCATCTACTAGTGGACACTTAGGTTGCTTCCATATCATGGCTATTGTAAATAGTGCCACAATAAACATAGGGGTGCATATGTCTTTTTGAATCTGACAGCTTATTTTCTCTGGGTAAATTCCTAGGAGTGGAATTCCCGGGCTAAATGGAATTTCTATTTTCAGTATTTGGAGGAACCTCCATATTGCTATCCACGATGCTTGAACTAGTTTACATTCCCACCAGCAGTGTAGGAGGAATCCCCTTTCTCCACATCCTAGCCACCATAATTGCTCATAGTTTTTTCTATGTTGGCCATACTAACTGGTGTGAGCTGATACCTCATTGTACTTTTAAAATTAGTGATGTGGAGCATCTTTTCAAGTGCCTGTTGGCCATCTGAATTTCTTCTTTGGAGAAGTGTCTGTTCATATCCTGTGCCCATTTTTTAATCAGGTTATTTGCTTTTTGGGTGTTGAGGCATGTAAGCTCTTTACATATTTTGGATGTTAATCACTTGTCAGATATGTCATTTACAAATATATTCTCCCATACTGTAGGATGCCTTTTTGTTCTGCTGATGGTGTCCTTTGCTATACAGAAGCTTGATGTAGTCCCATTTGTTCATTTTTGCTTTTGTTTCCCTTGCCCAAGGAGATGTGTTCAGGAAAAAGTTGCTCATGTTTATGTTCAAGAGATTTTTGCATATGTTGTCTTCTAAGAGTTTTATGGTTTCATGACTTACATTCAGGTCTTTGATCCATTTTGAGTTTACTTTCATGTATGGGGTAAGACAATAATCCAGTTTCATTCTTTTGCATGTAGCTGTCCAGTTTTGTCAACACCAGTTGTTGAAGACGCTGTTGTTTCCCCACTGTATGTCCATGGCTCGTTTATCATATATTTATTGACCATATGTGCTTGGGTTTTTATCTGGGATCCCTAGTGCGTTCCACTGATCCATGGGTCTGTTCTCATGCCAGTACCAAATTGTCTTTGCAGTAGAGCTTGAAGTCAGGGAGCATAATCCCCCACCTGCTTTATTCTTCCTTCTCATGATTGCTTTGGCTATTTGGGGTCTTCCATGGTACCATATGAATTTTAGAACTATGTGATCTAGTTCATTGAAGAATGCTATTGGCATTTTGATTGGGATTGCATTGAAGTAGTAGATTGCTTCAGGCAGGATGGCCATTTTGACAGTATTAATTCTTCCTTTCCATGAGCAAGGGATGTTATTTCCATTTATTGGTATCTTCTTTCTCTCGACTGTCTTGTAGTTTTCAGGATATAGGTCTTTCACTTCCTTCATTTGTTTTATCCCTAGGTATTTTATTCTTATTGATGCAATTGTGAATGGAATTGTTTTCCTGATTTCTCTTTCTGCTAGTTAATCATTAGTGTATAGGATTGCAACAGATTTCTCTGTATTAGTTTTGTATCCTCCCACTTTGCTGAATTCAGTTATTAGTTCTAGTAGTGTAGGGGTGGATTCTTCAGGGTTTTTTTATGTATAATATCATGTCATCTCAAAGAGTGATGGTTTAACTTCTTCTTTTCCAATCTGGATAACTTTTATTTCTTTGTGTTGTCTGATTGCCATGGCTAGGAACTCCAGAACTATATTGAATAAAAGTGGGGAGAGTGGGCATCCTTGTCTTGTTTCTGATCCTAGAGGAAAAGCTTTCAGCTTCCCACTGTTAAGTATGATGTTGGCTGTGGGTTTGCCATATATGGCCTTTATTATGTTGAGCTACTTGCCCTCTATACTCATTTTGCTGAGATTTTTTACCATGAATAGATGTTGAATGTTGTTGAATGCTTTTTCAGCTTCTATGTGGTTTTTGTCTTTGTTTTTGTCAATGTGGTGGATGATGCTGATGGATGTTCGAATGTTGTACCATCCTTGCATCCGTGGAATAAATCATATTTGATCATCATAGACGATCTTTTTGGTATATTTTTAATTTGATTTTGTTGAGTATTTTTGGACCTAGGTTCACAGGGGTATTGGTGTCTAATTTTCTTTTTTTGCGGGGTATTTGCCTAGTTTTGGTTTTAGAGTGATGCTGGCTTCATAGAATGAGGGTGGAAGTATTCCCTCCTCTTCTACTCTTTGGAAAACTTTAAGCAGGATGGGTAGTAAGTCTTCACTAAATGTCTGATAAAATTCAGCAGTGAAGCCATCTGGTGCATGAGTTTTATTCTTAGGTAGCTTTTTGATTACCAATTCAGTTTTGCTGCAGGTAATTGGTCTGTTCAGATTTTCTGTTCCTTTCTGGGTCAGCCATGGAAGTTTGTACTTTTCTTGAATGTTGTCCATTTCTTCTAGGTTATCCAGTTTTTTAGCATACAATTTTTCATAGTGTTCTCTTCTAATTCTTTGTATTTCTGTGGTGTCCGTAGTGATTTTTCCTTTTCATTTCTGATACTCTTTATGTTTACTCTCTATTTTTTCTTGATAAGTCTGGCTAGGGGTTTATCTATTTTGCTTATTTTCTAAAAAAACCAGCTCCTGCTTTCTTTGATTCTATTGTTTTAATCTTCTCAATTTATTTAAGTGAGCTCTAATCTTTATTATGTCCCTCCTTCTACTGACTTGGGCCTCATTTGTTCTTCTTTGTCTAGGTTTGTTAATTGTGAGTCCAGACTGTTCATATGGGATTTTTCTTCTTTCCTGAGGTAGGCCCATATTGCAATAAACTTCCCTCTTAGCACAGCCTTTGCTGCATCCCACAGATTTTGTGGTGTTGAATTAGTGTTGTCATTTGCCTCCATATATTGCTTGATCTGTTTTTATTTGGTCATTGATCCACTGATTATTTAGGAGCATGTTGTTAAGCCTCCATGTGTTTGTGGGCTTTTTCACTTTCTTTGA